AGAGGCTGGTATTTTATAAAATGACTAAACATTCCATACAACTGATAAAAAGGGACTAGATAATGCAAAATAGACGTTCTATTAGATAACCCGCATAGTGCAGATTAAGTTCCAAATAATCATAGATATTACAACATGACAACTTGTCTGCTTTTTTAATTCACGAAATTTTAATTCACATTAATTACTAATCACTATAGGATTAGTATCATTATTATAACGATAGCGGCTTACAAACATCATGTACCTACTCATGTCTGAGATATCCAGCTAAATTTAAAAAATCGTATATAGTCCCACCGATTTGAGGTCTTATAGGTCCTTTTGCAATATATATATATATATATATATATATATATATATATATATATATATATATATATATATATATATATATATATATATATATATATATATATATATATATATATATATATATATATATATATATATATATATATATATATATATATATTACGGTCAAAGCCTGAAGTCGGTCAATGTGCGCATTGGCAGGCCAATGCGCGCATATATATCGCCTCCAATTGACCGGTCAAAGTCCGAAACTTTGCATGATTTCGGTCTTTGGCCGGCCAATCCTCGAACTTGTCATGGTGGACCGGCCAAACTCTGAAATAGCTCTTGGGGTTTGTATTGATTTTTCCTCAGTGCCAACTGACGACAAATAAGAGCAGTTTTTCGTGAAGAATTGAAAACTCACTTCTAGAATACAGTTGTTTTAGAACATCATGTTCCGTTCCTAGCTTGTAGAAAGCGCCCTCGACGCTCATTACAAGTGAAATGACGCTATTGGGATCACCGCGACCTCTGTCAACATCTGGTATACGGATGCCTACATTTTCACCCACTTCAGCTTGTTTAAATTTTGTATTTGATTTTTAAGCATCGTAGCACCTTGAGTTTGCAAGCTAGTATGAGCTGCTGACCTATTGTTACACAATCTGCAGGTAATATTTCTTCCGTACCCTTGGTCTGCTTCATTGGGTATTCCGCAAATAGCATGGACATCGTTGCCACAGGATCCACAATAATGAGCTGCACTACAATTTTTTCATGGAGGAGGCTGTCACATACAGTTGTAGCCCATATATGGAAACTAACATGGATTTAATTATTTTTTTCTTTTGACAGCCATCTGCTATGTCTGTCTCATGGTCTGACGGCCCTTTTGGTCCATGTCGCCTTGCATATAAAATGGTATACAAACAAGAGCTAAACAACACGTTACTCACAATGAAACCGCACACAGAATAATAAAAACGCGATCACAAATTAGTCTAGATAGAACATTGAGCAGGTCATCCCGGCCAGTGCGCACATTGGCCGGCTAATGCGGGCTTTGGCCGCACTTCGGGCTTTGACCGTTACATATATATATATATATATATATATATATATATATATATATATATATATATATATATATATATATATATATATATATATATATATATATATATTGAATTTTAAATAGCATGCGTGAGATATAAATGTGTATCACCACTTTGATTAGTTTAAACATTTGTATTTCAAATTACATCCGAAATGTTTTTTAAAGGCAATAATAACATGTATATGGTCTTGTCATTTCACAGGCAAATGGCATGATTACCCGTGCTCCGCAAAGTTCAAATTTGTCTGCCAGAAAGAGTCTTCTTTTTAGTACATCAAGCTCCGACGAAAGTTCGACCAATTGAATTTTGAGTAAATTGTCTGTTTCAATGGACATTTGTTTAAAGGTTTACAGTGGTAAATAAATTAAGCTCTATTTGCAAGTGTAGTCGAAGTTTCGATCCAAAGATCATTTGATGCTGAAAGAAATAAAAATAAGAAAAAAAAGAAGTGTTTAGAAATTCGTTCATATGGGGTGGATGATATAAGACCGACAAATAAAATTGCCCATCCCTCGCTTTAGGGGTGATTGTGTCATTAGTTTTTGATGCATTTCAGAAAATGATTATCATAAAGAGATTCTGTTCCTTATTATTCAAAGAAATCAATATTTTAACAGACAAAAAACATATATGCTGAGGTGTGCTTTCTTTTTTAGATGTATACTAGACTACCCGTTATCTAGTTAGATAACTGTGGGTTTCGGGGGTCATCCATAAATGACATCACGTCAGTCAGCACTTATCATCGCAAAATAACCAGACCCCACATTCAAAAAGAGGTTTTTTATATTTAAAAAACTCTACTAAACTCTACTTTACCTGCCCAGTGTCCCGCCAAGTCTCAGACATGTTTGAATAAAAAAAAAACGATTCCGGCCGAGCATGGCTCTGACCACACTATCCATTCATATGCTAAGAACATAGAAACAGGTGAACTCTACTTCACCTGCCCTGTGCTCCGCGAGGTCCTAATAGTCAAACTTATCATTCACATATAGGCCTTAAGAAAAAAAAATAATTGAAAACATTGTCGTAAAACGAAAATAAATCCTTGTACTATTACATAATTTATTTTTCTAAACTTTGATAACTAATGTGATTAATCTACCTATGAATATATCAATAAATTAATTAAAGGCTTTAAATTAGTTTGTAATTAACAGTGTGTTTAAGAAGGAACAATATTTACCATCCAAAATCCTATTTTACAGCTCTACACATAATGCAGATTCTCCCCAATAACAAATCAGAAAAACAATAAAAAAAATGATTTATCAAACGTCACTATTCAGTAAAAATTAATGTGGTTAATCTACCTATGAATAAATCAATAAATAATTAACGTCTTTAAATAAATTTGTGATTAACAGTATGTCTGAAAAGAAAAACTGTTCTCTACCCGCATACTATTTTACAGCTCTCTATATAGCGTAGATTTTCTACAGTACGATATCAGACAAAAAAAAAACAAAACAAACAAAAAAATAAATATTCAAACATGTAAACAAACTTGAGTTTTAGTAGTATATATATAGATGATAAAGAAGCCATTTGGACCTGGTTGAACACACGGCGATTGAAGTAGATTTCACCGATTTCTGTGACCTCAGCACTATGCACAGCCGAAATCGAAGTTTTTCATTTGTATGATCATAAAACTGTATTTTAAACACATTACTTTATTATTTCTTATATTCTTAAAACAAAATGGACAAATATCCAAAAGTGCAAGAAACTCATTATGAGAGAATTTTAGTGATAAACACACTCTTTAGAAACACAAATCAAAGACACGTTTTGTAGAATAAAAACATTTTTATTATTACTGTCAAGGTTATTGCGAGCGACTCTAAAAGATTATTTAAGGGTTTTGTACACAAGTTATCACAGTCCATCAATATTTGCCAAAAACAAAATTTGAGTTGACCTCAAAAAAAAAAAGAAAAAATCAGTTCAGGTTGTTCGCTCATCGATTTAATAAAATACGACAGCTGCACCTGACTCGGTAATAAATTGGAGATAACTAATTAAAACTTTATTAGCACCATTAAAAGGACTTAACTCGTAAACTGAGTAAAGACCTAATTACAGGTTGACAGGTAATTAAAGAAAGCAAAATAGTCGTTAAGTCATCATTAAAAAGTCATCAAGTCATCAGTAGTAAGTCATATAGTCGTCAAGTCATGAGGAGAAAGCCAAATAACCACCAAGTCACCAGTAGGAAGCCAAACAGCCATCAAGTCATCAGTAGCAAGCAAAATAGTCGTCAAGTCATCGTTAGCAAGCAAAATAGTCGTCAAGTCATCGTTAGCAAGCAAAATAGTCGTCAAGTCATCAAAAGAAAAGCAAAATAGTCGTCAAGTCATCAGTAGAAAACCAAAAAGTCGTCAAGTCATCAGTAGAAAGTCATATAGTCGTCAAGTCATGAGGAGAAAGCCAAATAACCGCCAAGTCACCAGTAAGAAGCCAAAAAGCCATCAAGTCATCAATAGCAAGCAAATTAGTCGTCAAGTCATCAGCAGTAAGTCAAATAGCCGTAAATTCATCGTTAGCAGGCAAAATAGTCGTCAAGTCATCGTTAGCAAGCAAAATAGTCGTCAAGTCATCAAAAGAAAGCAAAATAGTCGTTAAGTCATCATTAAAAAGTGTGTTGGAGGAAATACCATAAAAAATCAAGAACGAAGCAGAAATAAAAACTGTCTTATTTGGTTGTTGAACTAAGGAATATAAAAATGTATATCAACAAACAGTATAATCAGAGGCGTAGTGAGGGGGTGAGGTGGGGGGGGGGGAAGAACGGGTGCTGACCGCACCGTGTGACATAATTTAGAGGAGGTGACACCAAGGCAAGAAATAGCAAAATAGCTACACGTTGCCTAAGGGAAAAATGTTTTGTTGTGAATCGAAATAATTTATATGTCAATCCCAGTTTGTGATGGGTGGGGGGGGGGGGTGTGCCACCAAATTGTATAATTTATTACAAAAACAATGATTTTTTAAAATGGAATTAATAAATGTTAGAGTTAGGACCCTAAATGCTTTTTGTATGTGAATTAATATGTTTACACGAATTGACGCCATTTGACAAAAATTTGGGTTGTGTCTCCAAATACAAAATTCACCGAAGTGGATTGGATTGAAACCACATAGAAAATTTACAAATCTGCATATTATTGATCAAGCAAATTATCATACAACAGCCTACGATTGTGTAAGTATGTGTATTTGTACGTGTGTGTGTGTACGTGTGTGATACCAATAGAACAATAGCTGCACATTTGATTGTGCGTAAGTAATTTAGCCGTGTGTCGGTGTTCCTACGTTTTTACATTTTGTTAATAATAAAATGTATGTTAGCTTATCAATATCAGCGTGTCATCGTTTATGTCGCCATTACCTCGTGAAAACTAAATTGGTTTGCATTTTAAATAAATTGTCTTTAATTACCGAAAATACTAAAACGTCAAATACATTCAATCCATTTTATAGTCCGAAAATAAACAAACCATCTGCAGTTTATAACCATATTAATTTTAATTACACTATGCATTATTTTTAAAATATTTAATGGGCTTTTCAATGCAGATAAAAAAGAGGCTATCAACTTTAGCTGGCCAATCAAAAACGAACACGTTACTGACTTGAATTTGAACTTATATAAAGCTTGACCAAGACAAGCACATGATACATAGCCTGTCTCTGAAACGGTAAGTTTTCTTGCATAGTAGTTAGCATGGGAGAACAATTCTATTATGGAAATGTAACAGTTAAAGTAGATTTCACCTGGATATATTTTTCAGGAATGTTACAAGAAAACTATTCATAAAATTTATCGTATTTATGTTAAAGTACAAATATTCATATAATATTTATATTATAATTTAACCGTTACAGAAATAAATGCTTATTAATTTATCTTAAGATATGTTACAGTAAAAAACATTCATAAAATTTTTCTAAAATTATGTTACAGTAAAAACATTCATGAAATTCATTTTAAATTCCGTCACAGTAAAGATATTAATAAAAGTTACTTATATTATGTTATGGTAAAGATATTCATAAAATGTATCTTAATTTATGTTGTTATAAAATACGAGAAAAATGGCCCGTTGAGGAAGGATACAACGGGCGCTAGGTTGATAGTGCTGTCTATTTTCTCTAAACTAAAACCAACTACCCCCCAAACATGTCTACCGTCCCATTCAACGAAATATAATTATATACTTTTCCCAGTGTCCGCCCCTCCCAGAAAATTCTACCCCCGCCCCCGAAAATTTCAATTACCCCCACCCCTCTCCGAGGAGGAAAAAAGTCTGAAAGAAACACTGGTCACATTTGTAGATCATACAACGTGACATCATGTTTCGTTTTCGTTTAACTATGCATGTTTCAAATTTGCTTGTGTTTTTTTCTAGAGCGTTCTTGTCAGACAGATACATAGATAGATAGACAGACAGCGAAACTATTAGTATTAACGAGAAAAATGGCCCGTTGACGAAGGATACAACGGGCGCTAGGTTGATAGTGCTGTCTATTTTCTCTAAACTAAAACCAAAACCAAAATCACCACCTTAATTCAAGTTAACCGGAAACAAAAAATGACATTGAAAACGGATTTTTATCCAGAATCGGTACTTTAAGTTATACAAAATATAGTCATAGGCATATCCCTGAACCATGCACCTAATCTCATTCATGACAAAAGTCGCATTTAGAGTTTCTTTTAGGCAACTCTACTTGGGAGGAGGAGGCTCCGCCCCCCCCCCCCCCCCCAACACACCCAAAACATGTCTACCGTCCCATTCAACGAAAATAACTATATACTTTTTCCAGTGTCCGCCCCCTCCCAGAAAATTCTACCCCCGCCCCCCCAAAAAAAATTCAAGTACCCTCACCCCTCGCCGGGGAGGAAAAAGTCTGAAAGAAACACTGGTCGCATTTGTAGATCATACAAACTTAAGGAAGAACCTGGGCGGGGAAGAGATGCATGAAAAAAACTGCACGCCAAACACTGTTTAGATTAGAAAAAGTTTCCCCCTCCGGGGAGGAAAAAGTTTGAAAGAAACACTGGTGTCGCGCTTAGCCACTACCCGAAGAATTGCACGAAAGAAACTGCAAGCAAACCACTTTTTAGATTAGACACATTAATTTGGCGGTAATTTTATTATAGAGTATCGATGAAGAAATTTCTTTTGAATTGGGGAGGGGGGGGGGGGCTCAGACGTTCTTACGCGGGGGTGGGGCTTCGCCCCTACCCGAAGAATTGTATAAAAGCAACTCTTCACGCAAACCACTTAGATTAGACAAAATTGCCTTTTTATTAAATGTTTACTCGAGAATCAATGACGTCATATTACTGTGTGCACTCTCCGGTTTGATATTATTTTCTACTATATGCTAAATGTGACGTCATATTTCGTTTTCGTTTCACTGTGAAAGTTTTTAAATTGTTTGTGTTTTCTCTAGAGTATTGTCAGACAGATAGATACATAGACAGACAGCGAAACTATTAGTATTAATAATTCATGATATTTATCTTCGGTTTTAAGTTTCTGATGCACATTTAGATAAACAAATTCTAATCTGGAGTTCGTAAGTTTGACAACGTTTTAGAGTTTTAAATACATCTAAAATTTACACAATGAAACAAAACTATATTTGTACAATCTATATTATTTTTTTAAACATATAAAGCCAATGTATCTCTGTTATTCTGTCTGTCTATTTGTGTATTGCTTTACCTTTCATCGAATCGCCATAAAAGTTTGGGAAATTGTTGAGAATACTCTTGGAGAGGTTTCTGTTAAAACAAAAAACCTCTCAAATTAGCAAGGGTGGCGCCCCGGCAGTGTGTGATTTCACTCTATATACGGTATATAAAAAAAGTCGAATACGGTCAGACATCGTTCATCCGAGTGTTCTGAAACTTTAGGCAGGCGATGAAATTACTCACGAGAAGGATACTACGAAATATAAAATTATAATTTCTTATGGGCGGCGCCCAGGAGGAGGCGACTTTTGTCAATACACTGTTTGGCGCCTAGAATTTTAGAGAGGCTGTCTTTGCACTTGGTATCCATTAATTGGACATTCTGCCTTGAGGCGCCGGCAGTTGCGTGCCTCGAAGTTCCCCGGGTTCCTCAGCGAGCACTATGGCGTCTACGTTCGTTTAAAAAACGCTTTAAACTAAAGACGCAATCGTTGACTTATTTCGAATCAGGCGTGGTCTCCGGGGACCTAACATGGTGCGATGGGGCGCCCCGGGCTATCGTATTAGCGCTATGGCGCATACGTTCGTTTTAAAGAGTGCGATAGGCTGTTGATACTATGTGTTGATTTAGTCGTTCACTAAATTGATAGGGTGCGATTTGTCGCCCGGGCTATCGTTTATACCTGGGGTCTATGTATCCCGTAGTTTTGCAGTTTACACTACTGTCATGTTCCCATCTAACCAATTCTTTGTTCCTCATAGAGTTCTGATAAGCACGACGGCACAAATGTTAACAAATGACTTAATAGAATGACATTAGTTAACTTCACTGTTTATTGTACCATAGTAACACATACAACGATTTAAGCAAACGTAACTGAGACTTGACTACATACACGACCTCACCCTAAGACAACAAGAACAAGACTACCCTAAACTTCTTCGGCAACAACGAACCTACACTCAAACGTCACATTTCTGCGTACCGCTTCACATGTTCATGCGTTCATTATATCTTTCAAAAACAATATTCGTTCGCAACAACATGCCTAATCATAACACTATCCTATGAGCAATATTGACACGGTGGCACACAGCATTCGATAATTAAACCGAGACAGGTGCCGTCTGCGGTAGTGTAACAGGGGGCTCCCATGTGCGCCCCTCTACGTTCCTGACAATCGGGCGGTTGCTGACGTTTGTTCTACCTCACTATTACGGAGAGCGATTAACGTACACTTAAGACTTCCATACAGCACGAACTGGGCGGTTATGTGGGCAAACCCGTGCTCTCGACAAGTATGATCCAAAAAATACGGCGCAGCATTTTTTACATTCAAATAATTTAGTTTGAAAAAAAAACAATGTCATGCGTCTGAGAATATAGAATTGGTAAAGCAATGTTGAAACCCTCATAAAATATTACGTCATATTTTCTTATGGACTGCAGCAACACGCGGACGGTCACGCTAGTTTAAAAAAAATATTTCAAATACTTCCTGAGTGATCCATGCTTTTACTAGTATTAAAATGTTTTATAAATACTTTACTATAAAATAAAAACAACATGCCATTATAATAAAATGCTACAATTAATCACTAAAAAATGTAAACTTTTGATTTGTGCTCTTTACACTGCAGGTTTGATTGGTTAGATTCTTAATCACCAAAGCCCTGAAAATGTTAAAAATAAATATCCTGAAAAATGTGCTTGCTTTCTTCGTGATTGCTACATTACCGCTAACGGATGCAGGTAACTCAATAATCATATATATATACATATATATATATATATATATATATATATATATATATATATATATATATATATATATATATATATATATATATATATATATATACATATATATATATATATATATATATATATATATATATATATACATATATATATATACATATATATATATACATATATATATATATATATATATATATATATATATATATATATATATATATATATATATATATATATTCTATATCTATATTTATTTACCATTGTATTTTCGGTGTATACGCATGTATATATGTATTCACATAAATCTTTTTTTTTCTGGGTGTTTTTAATTATGTTTTTAAACTACGCGCTTTAGACTGAACATCAACGTTTAAAGTTTAACGCAAGGGGTCTCCAAACTTTTCAGCCCGAGGGCCGTTTTAACTATCAAATATCAGAGTTTCTTCCAGGCATCTCTTTTGGTTGCGAACCTCACCCCCCCCCCCCGAAGAACGCTTACCCCCCCCCTACCCCCTCCCCCAACGAAATATAATTTAAAGATATAATCCATACAAATTTCAAGTGCCCTACCCCTCCCCCTGGAGAAAAAGTCTGAAAGAAATACTGTCGGGGGCCGAGCACACTCGAGGTCCAAGTTTCTTCTCAAATTATTCAACACGTATTTTATTTTTGAAAATGCTTGTTCACACAGCTACGTTGTTCCAGAATTTGAAAGGTACTTTAATGCAGACGTTTTGACACACCCGCGCTTCTGTAAACTTGTCTCCAAACGAGGTCATTTGCTTGCAATTCAATGACCTCCACTTGCAGTTCATCTGGGCAAATGGCCACATCTGCTTCAAATGGGTTTAAAACAGTCTCACTTCTTCTTCCTTTAATCCAAGTCAGAAAACCGCTATGAAACTGCATCTGGAGGTCCTTGATGATCTCGCATTGAAATGACGTGGGGATCTCAGCTGTTGCTTCAGCCATAATGACTTTGTACTGTTGAAAGTGCGCCAATTTTTGGGCCTGTACTCAGAGGCGTAGCGACCCTTCCCGGCGCCCGGGGACAAACTTTTCAATTGGCACCCCCCCCCCTCGAGATGTCTATTTTTCACCCTCCCCCCTCAAACTTTCGATTTGCACCCCCTCGAGATTTCCATTTGCACCCCCCACCTCAAACTTTCGATTTGCACCCCCTCGAGATTTCCATTTGCACCCCCCTCGAACTTTCAATTTTCACCCCCCTCAACCTTTCAATTTATTTTTCCAACCCATTTTGGCGCCCCCTAAGGTCGGCGCACGGGGAAATGTGTCCCCCCCTCGCTACGCTACTGCCTGTACTAGTTACAAAAACAAGACGTTTGTATCTGAATGCCTTTCGTTGTGTCTATAGAACAGAAACTAGATTTTACTCTCCTTGTAGTCTTAGGTTCAAAAATTTTAAATGATTAGCTATGTCAGCAGCATAAGCCAATTTCTATACCCACATTTCATCAGATATTAATGGCCGTGGCTTGACTTTACTTGCCAGGATGTCATCTATTTCCTTTCTTAATTTAAATACTCTGCCCAGAACTTTCCCACGACTTAGTTATCTTAACTGCTGTGTAAAATAGTAAATGTTGCGATTATGTGTATTTTTAAACATTTATCTGAACTGCCTATTGTTGAACTTATGTGACCTTATTAAATTCAGAAGCTTTACCACGAGATTCAGCAATGTCCATATATTTAGCACACAAAGTTTGCTGGGGAATATTACATTGCAGGAACATTAATTGTAGAATGTTTTTTCTTATTCTCGTGTCAAACCAATCATTTCTTTACGCCACTCATGTACTTTCCTCCTTCAACAGTCAGGTAACTGAGGTTAGTCCAGTCCAAGTTAAAAATCAGCAAATGTTTTTTTTAACTCACTGAATATATCCTCTCCGGTAACGTTGTCATACATGCTATGTAGGGAAGCCAGCGCTTGTGTTATTTTCATATCTTCCATCCACACCAAAAATGAAGTTGAGAGGTGGAACATGTTTTCACCCATGTCTGCAAAACGGCGGGCAATGGTATTTGCCCCCAGAATTACATTTACAATTTTTTTTTGAAATTTCTGGGTAAAGTTCCTGAGCCACAACCAACAAATATTTTTTGCGTGGAAAAAAAGATCTCCGCGGGCCGGATGAGAGGGCCTAGCAGGCCGCATTCGGTCAGTGGACCGTAGTTTGGAGACCCCTATTATTTATAAGAAAATTAGTAACATAGCGAACATTCTTTTTTACAACGTTTTAATTTGCTAAAATCTTTTTAGCTTTTATGGGTATACAAAATTTGTAATCAAGTTATTATAATTTAACATAATCAAAAGCTTAATATGTACAAAATTTAAAGTTCTAACTGACTTAATTTATTTACAAAAGTTGTGCTAATTTGTGACATGCTTTTTACTTTCTCACATATACGAGGTATAGCGAAAGTCGTGAAAAAAAAAATCGAGATTTTTGCAAATCTCGACGTTTTACACCTCCCTGAGTCGGAAAAACATAGTTTTCCAATCTTGTCAACATACACATACACACACACAAACACAAACACACACACACACGCACAAGCGCACACACACGCACGCACACCCACCCACCACAACCCCCCACACCACACACATACACACGCACACACACTCACACCACAAACACACACCACACACACAACCCCCACACACACCACACACATACACACACCTACCTAGAAGTACACACATTTGTAGGCTCTTTTATAATAATTTGCTTGATCGAATGATACACAAATCTTTATACGTTCTTTTTGGTGTCACCCCCCCTAACTTTTTGTCAAATGGCGTCCATTCCTTTAAACCCACCTAGAAATATCATTTTTGGGCTTAACACTGACAGCTATTAATTTAGTTGCGAAAATCGTTGTGTTTGCAGTAGATTATAAAATATGGTGTCACCCTCCTCAGTCACACAGACTTGGATTGATATATAAGTTATTACGATTCTCAACAAAACCATTTTCCATTGGAAAATTTTTGAATTTTTTCTTTATGTAACACCCCCCCCCCTCCCCCCATTCAAGGCAATGTCGTTATTCTGTGTTCAGATAATACTAACGATGTTTCTCTATATTTGTTATTGATACTGCTGGATATAACAGGTTTACGTCATGGTGTTGTCGTCGTCCGCCGCCCCCCCCCCCCCCCCCCACCCTTTTGTTGGGGCTTGTCAAATTTGCTCTTTAAAGTCTACTTAATTCTAATTAATCAGTTATTTAATTCGAATGATAATGAAAGTTCGGTCCGCATCCCCTGTTGCCCCCTCGCTAGTCCTTTGATATATATATATATTATATAAATATATATATATAAATAATTTGTACTGAGATCATTTGTCCGTGAGATATTTTGTCTGAGATATTTTGTCTGAGATCATTTGTCCTGAGATCATTTGTCATGGAACCATATATATACATATATATATATATATATATATATATATATATATATATATATATATATATATATATATATATATATATATATATATATATATATATATATATATATATATATATATATATATATATATATATTAGAGGACAACAAGTCAGATGAAGTACGGAAATTTGTCGTTTCATGCTAATTTAAAGTTAGTATTTAAAAGAACACGATGAAAATCGAGGACATTGGAACATTCTATTAAATTAAACATAATTACAACCTCCATACTTCATGCTAAATGTTTTTTGGTGTGTTTATCAATACATACGACATACACTCTTCATTACATTTAATTAATCGTAAGTTGATTACCAATCTCGGAATATTTAATACATAAAAGTATTAACAAATTCCATGAAAATATTCATTTGTGACATTTTTCCTGTGATATTTTTTTTCCCGTGACTTGTTTTCCTTCAATCATCTAAAATACAATAAGTGTATGATTATGATGTTTTACAAGATGATGACAGATGTCCTGATGAGGGTTGGTTTTATTTCAATGATCTATGCTACATGACCAGCAATCAAGAGGAAACTTGGCCAGATGCAAAATCTTTTTGCGAAAGTGTTGATGGATCTTTGATACAAATTTTCGACGATGACGTTGTTAACGACATACCAATCAAGGTAAAAATCTGGCAGATGGTTTTTTTTGGTATCACAAACCTGTTGGTACTTACATTTTTTAATTTGCATTTTAGGTAATATATTGTATTAATGATATGTACGTAAATGAATTTGCATTTGTGCTATGTGCGTACTGTGTAATTGTATTAATAATATGTGCGAATAGTGTATTTGTATTTCTGGTAAGTGTGTTCTACGCATTTGTATTTCTGATATGAGCGCTCAGTGTTATTGTATTTCTGATATGCGCGTAGAGTATTTTTATTAAGTGCCAATAATGTATTTGCCTGTGGGTTTATCCAATTTTAGCAATCACAGTCTTATTGGCAAGATAGTGAAAATGGTGATTAGAGTCAGCTCCCCTTGTAATCGAGTTAATGGTAATAAAAATAATTACGTCTCAAAGCTTTAACATATATGCCAACTGTGTTTAAATTAAAGGATCTATTAAGATATTTAATCAGAACTTGTAGAAAGAAAGACAGTCCAGCTATGAAACTAAAGTGTATATAGAAAATAGTTCTTTTTTAGCTTTTCGATGTTTATTGTGTAGGTGAAATGTATTTTATTCATTTTCATTAGAAACATCAAAGCTAATTCTAAACTCTGTGAATACATCGAAATAGTCTTAAAAACTTTATTTGGGTGTCGGTATTTTATATATAATCATAGTTCTTTTCATATTGGGCTTTCATAAACTTGAGCATACGAGCCAAAGCATTTAAACATACTATTGAAGTGACGGTTGACAGGATTTGGTGGGTAAGACTTTTCAATATCACCGAGAAAGAAATGTTTACTTTTGCAAGGTTCTTTACTTTCAGGATATCAATCACGTATGGATAGGTTTACATAAACCAGACCCTAGCAACAACGAATGGAGGTTTGCATTTTATAACCAATCTTATACTAGATCTAGATCTACATTTTATAACGTCGTCAACTTTTGTTTGGAGAATTTCTCAAATGTAGTCACTTTTATCGAATCCACATCTCGCTGTGCTATATATATATGTATATAGTGTGTCAGTCCTTCTTTCCGTCCTTCTGTCAACGATATAGATTTTGGAACCATAAAAGTAGGCTATACACCACATGCCGTGATTTTACTTGCATCGAATTGTCTTATTATAAGTAATGGAATAGGATCGCTTTTTTGATTGTCGGCAAAGTTTTTACTGTTTCTTTCACATCAACTAAAGAAGGTGATGAAAATATTTAATACACGCACACTGCTGAAACATATTAAACGGATAAATAGTAAATAATACTTTTAGCTTATATGCCCAGAAGAACGTGTATCAATTAATACAGTAGGGTGAAATAAAACTAAAATGTTTAATAAAATGTTTAATAATTATACCACAGTTCTACAATCTATAGCGAAGATTGACGAATGTATATATATATATATATATATATATATATATATATATATATATATATATATATATATATATATATATATATATATATATATATATATATATATATATGTATATATATATATATATATATATATATATACATATATATATATATATATATATATATATATATATATATATATATATATATATATTTGGGAATACATTTAATATATCGGTACATGTATAGATACACAGATGCATATAACCCAGAGTGAAATAATCTTATTAGCTATGGTTTAACTTTCACAGTTGGAGTGATGGGTCTGAAGCCACTTTTTTCAAGTGGGATGTCGGTCAGCCTCAGAATGAAGGAGAAAACTGTGTAGCAGCCATTACCTTGGGTACTTTTATATATTAAGTCTGAATTACTTTGAGGCAAACTTTATTGAATTTATAGTGCAGATTTTAAAACATCTGAGTGTTTATATCTATATAAGGATATTCAAATCAACAATCCTATGTAGTATGTCATGCGTGTATATATATATCTATATATAATAAATAAATAAATAAATAAATAAATAAATAAATATATATATATATATATATATATATATATATACATGTATATACATAATATATATTTATATATTATGGCCAATATGACTTAATTGTTATTTCACAGACAAATGGCATGATTATCCGTGCTCCTCAAAGTTCAAATTTGTCTGCATGAAAGCGTCTTCAGAATTTTAATACATCAAGCTCCGACGAAATTTCTAGCACTTGAATTTTGAGTAAATTGTCTGTTTCAGTGGACATTTGTTTAAAGATTTACAGTGGTAAATAATTTAAGCTCTATTTGCAAGTGTCGTCGAAGTTTCGATCCAAAGATCATTTGATGCTGAAAGAAAAAAAAAAAGAAAAAAAAAGAAGTGTTAAGAAATTCGTTCATATGGGGTGGATGATATAAAACCGACAAATAAAATTGCCCATCCCTCGCTTTAGTGGTGATTGTGTCATTAGTTTTTGATGCATTTCAGAACATGATTATCAAAAAGAGATACTGTTCCTTATTATACAAAGAAATAAATATTTTTAACAGACAAAAAACATATATGCTGAGGTGTGACTTCTTTTTTTTTTAGATGTATATGACAAAGAAGCCATTTGGACCTTGTTGAACACAAGGCGATTGAAGTAGAGTTCACCGATTTCTGTGACCTCAGCACTATGCTCAGCCGAAATCGAAGTTTTTGATTGATAGGGTCCTAGAATTGTATTGTAAAGACATTACTTATTTCTTTCTTTTTTTCTGATTGAAAAAAATGAACACAGTATCCAAAAGTTTAAGACACTCATTATCAATATTAATGTGGATTTTAGTGATAAATACACATTCTTAAGAAACAAAATTCAAAGACACACTTTAAAGAATAAATACGTTTTTATTATTAAGGCCAAGGTTATTGCGAGAGGCTCTAAAAGATTATTGAAGGGTTTTATACACAAGCTATCACAGTCCAACAATATTTACCAAAAACAAAATTTTAGTTGATCTAAAAAAAATCAGTTCAGGTTGTTCGCTCATCGATTTAATAAAATACGACAGCTGCACCTGACTCGGAAATAAATTGGAGATAACTAATTAAAACTTTATTAGCACCATTAAACAGACTTAACTCGTAAACTGATTAAAGAACTAATTACAGGTTGACAGGTAATACTTGATTGTTTTGGATTAAATACCATAAAAAAATAAAGAACGAAGCAGAAATAAAAACGGTCTTATTTGGTTGTTGAACTAAGGAATGTAAAAACGTATATCAACAAACAGTACAATCAGAGGCGTAGCGAGGAATTGAGGTGGGGGGGGGGGGGGGGGGAAGGAAGAAAGGGTGCTGACCGCACCGTGTGACGTCATTTAGAGGAGGTGACACCAAGGCAAGAAATAGCAACATATCTACACGTTGCCTTAGGAAAAAATGTTTTGTTGTGAATCGAAATAATTTATATGTCAATCCCAGTCTCTGATGGGTGGGGGGGGGGGGGGGGGGGGGTGAGTGACACCAAATTGTATAATTTACTACAAAAACAAGGATTTCTTAAAACGGAATTAATAAATGTTAGAGTTAGGTCCCTAAATGCTTTTTCTATATCAATTAGTATGTTTACACGAATTGACGCCATTTGACAAAAATTTGGGTGGTGCCTCCAAATACAAAATTCACCGAAGTGGATTGGATTGAAGCCGCATAGAAAATTTACAAATCTGCATATTATTGATCAAGCAAATTATCATACAACAGCCTACGATTGTGTAAGTGTGTGTATTTGTACGTGTGTGTGTACGTGTGTGATACCAATAGAACAATAGCTGCACATTTGATTGTGCGTAAGTAATTTAGCCTTGTGTCGGTGTTCCTACGTTTTTTCATTTTGTATAATAATAAAATTTGGGACGGAGTGGCCTAGCGGTAGAGAGCTGGACTGCTAACCCGTAGGTCTGGAGTTCGTATCCGAGATCAAGTCAATAGACCGTCCCTGAGTCAACCCAGCTCTGATGGGTACCTAACTAATGTTAGGGAATGTAAAGGCGGCTGGGCATAGTGCTGACCACACTATCTATATATATATAAAGCAAACTGGTCAGGTGCTCGATGGTGCCTTGGGGCGATAGAACACGAAGGCCGGTGACGGTTGGTGGAAAAGTCCACGGAGAGGGGGTCAAAACTGACATCGACTGACCGGCGCCTTATACGGGCTATATTACGAAAAAAACTTTCGTCCAACGGCCTCCCTTGAAATTTTGTGAGGTGGTAGAAGAACGCCTAGGGGTGTCACAAAAAACTCGACATATCTAGGAAAACTTCGTAAAGGGGTCAAAACTGACCAGTTGTATTTCCCTATATAATCTTTGTATTTTATGGGAAAAAACAAAGGGTCATTTCAACGCGGATTTTACGGTACTTAAACTCAGTATAGCTGGCTAATTTTTGCATGCTCCTAGGTATAGGGCTTGGTCTTTAAGGAAAACTGTTGGTTTGACTGAAAGCCCTCGAAGAGGGCTAAAACATGACCGCGAGTGATATTCTCTTTATATGAGCTATATTACGAAAAAAATTTCCGACGACGACCCCCCCTTTGAAATTTTGTGAGGTGGTAGAAGAACGCCTAGGGGTGTCACAAAAAACTCGACATATCTAGGAAAACTTCGTAAAGGGGTCAAAACTGACCAGTTGTATTTCCCTATATAATCTTTGTATTTTATGGGAAAAACAGAGGGTAATTTCTACTCGGATTTTAGGGTACTTAAACTCAGTAAAGCTGGCTAATTTTTTCATGCTCCTATGTAAATAGCTTGGCCTTTAGGGAAAACTGTCGGTTTCACTCAAAGCCCTAGACGAGGGCTAAAACATGACGTCGAGTGAAATTCTTTTTTATATGAGCTCTATTACGAAAAAAAAATTTCGTTCGACGACCCCCATTGAAATTTTGTGAGGTGGTAGAAGAACATCACAAAAAACTCGGCATATCTGGGAAAGCTTCGTAAAGGGGTCAAAACGGACCGGTTGTATTTCCCTATATAATCTTTGTACTTTATGGGTAAAACAGGGTACTTTAAACACCATTTTTAGGGTACTTAACCTCTGTACATAATGCTAATTTTTTGCATACACTTCTATAGATGACTAGGACGTATGGCAAAACTGTTGGTCAGACTCAAAGCCCTCGACGATGGCTAAAAGACGACCGCGAGTGAAACTCTCCTTATATGAGATATATATAAATAAATTGATGAACGATCCCCTTAATATTATGTGAGGTCGTAAACCGACCCTGGAGGGTAACAAAAAAACTTTATTCCCGTCTGAAAAAGCCATTATAATCGTTAAATACGTCCAGATACCGTATTTTCTTATATAAGCATAACAACTGTTTTAAATAAACCCTAATCTTTCTCGGATATTCTAATATAAAACTACAAGGGATGGCAACTCAGACAATATTTGTAATCCATTTTTAATTACTTAAACTTTTTATAATAGAATGGAATCTTGTAAAAAAAAAAGAATTGACCCATTTAACGAATTTTCCCGGACATGGCGAGTTTTTTGTGACACCCCAAGGCGTTCTCCTACCACCTCACAAAATTTCAAGGGGGGTCGTCGGAGGAATTTTTTTTTCGTAATAGAGCTCATATAAAGAGAATTTCACTCTCGGTCACTTTTTAGCCCTCGTCGAGGGCTTTGAGTGAAACCGACAGTTTTCCCTAAAGCTCAAGCCATTTACCTAAGAGCATGCAAAAAATTAGCCAGATGTAAAGACGGTAAGTGCCCTAAATACCGTTTTGAAATCACCCTCTGTTTTTCCCATAAATACAAAGATTATATATATATATATATATATATATATATATATATATATATATATATATATATATATATATATATATATATATATATATATATATATATATATATATATATACATCAAACATGGTTATAGAGTGTACATTATACATATGGTTATAGAGTGTACATCACACATGGTTATACAGTGTACTTCACACACAGGGTTATAGAGTTTACATTAAACAGAAGTTTAAAGAGTGTACATTACACATAAGTTTATAGAGTGTATATAACACATATGTTTATAGAGTGTACATTACACACTTGGTTATAGAGTGTATACTACACATCCTAATATATAAAAGCCCCCGTGCGCACCTCTCTCTCTCTCTCTCTCTCTGTCTGTCTGTCCGCAAAATATTTTTACCGGACATCACATCAGAAACTGCAGCGATATATGGAGAACTTTATACGGACTTTTGTTGAAAATAATATGCTAGATGTTTTAAATGTATAACCACAATTTTATTTAAAGAAGAAAAATAAACAATAAAGTTGTATTCGAATGTAGAAAAACAATTTTATTTATGCAACCGGAAAAGTGTTTAAACTTGGGACAAGAACGCATTTAACAATGACGTCGCTTATTGTTTACACTAAAAAAAGAGCACGAAACTGATGACGTCATCTTCCGATTTTAGGATAAAAAGAAATGAACTATTTCATTCAAATAGGATTTAGAACTATGTACGCTTTAAATTGTATACAATACGTATTTCTGGGCCTAAACTTTAAACAATTATTTTGTCTATTTGGATTCTAGATCTAGAGATTCTAGATCAAGATTTAGACTCTATCTACTGTAGAATCTATTACAAAAATAAATATCTATAATAAACTTTTTCAGGACTTAAATCTATATACTACAAAAACTCAAGTTTGTTTACATGTTTGAATATTTTTTTTGTTTGTTTGTCTGATTTCTTACTGTAAGGAAACTGCTTTATATGGGGTCTGTAAAATAGTAAGTAGGTAGAGAATGATTTTTGTTTTAAGACAGACTGTTAATCACACATTTATTTAAAGACGTTAATTAATTTATTGATTTATTCATAGGTAGATTAACCACATTTGTTTTTAAAAGATTAGAAAGACCACTACACTCGACGGAAACAGTGACGTCACATGATGTGTTTATTTTTTTACATCAATAATGGTGGCCTATCGAAGAAGATTGTGTCCCCATTCCAATGTTTAACGCGTTCTAAAGCTAATTTTCTGTCGGCTTTAACTTTAACAATACGTCCGTTTGCTGTATTTATTACGTTCCAACACTTATATATTTTCATTTAGTTTTACGATAAATTTCTCTAGATCTACAATCTGTCCAAGAAAGTTATTTATAGATCTAGATCTAAAATCTAGGTCAAATCAAAGATTTATTAGTTATAGATCTAAATACAATCCAAAAAAAACGAGACTTAAGAAAACCAGTCGTAGATCTAGAATATAGATAATTCTATCTAGATTTAGATAATAATGAGTTTCTATATACTAAAATATTTTAGACCTTTATTATTTTGTATAAATCTTTGTTTCGACTGTGCAAATTTTGAAATGCTGGATCCAGGGCCTATTTGCGTAGCTTAAGA